ATAATGATCAGCTCTGCAGTTCCCACTGGAATATAAAAAAACCCACACTGAACATCCTTTAGTTTCCATAGAACAGCAGTTGTCTCTGCTATGCAGGCTACAAACAGCTATAACCAGCAACCTTGAAAATGCACGGTTCTCATGCAGCACCTGATCCAGAAATACCCAGACAGGGAGATCGAGTCACCTTTGAAGTTCATAGGAGCAAGATACAAGAAAAAGATACATACATGCAGAACATACTCATAGTTCAACTTAACTATAATCTTCTCAGATACAGCTGACAAAATAATCTGCAAAAAGAAAAATGTTTATGAAAAGCTTCATAACAGACCAGACCATTTTTTAGCTACAGGCAGCCAAATATTGGATAAAAATTATTTAAAAATAATAATTTTTGTATTGCATCTAAAATGTCATTTGGTAAAAAAAGACTGGAAAACAAACTAAAATTTTCAAGGTTTCCAAAATATTATGGCAATTTTATAATACATGGACAATGTTCAGATTAAACCAAACAGGCCAAATAATTTGAGACAAGTTTTATACAAAGAGACTTTAAAAAGTCTAATATATAGCCTATGAGAGAAAAACCCAATCATTGCATGTCTTACACAGATAAAAGGGATTCACTATGAGTGATTTTGATAATTACTCTGCTGTTTGATGATATTTAGGGAACTATTTCTGTTAGCAATGCAACAAGGTTACAATATTTAAACTGAAGTTTGTAATGTTAATACAGCAATATTTGGGGGTATTTGGATTAGTTTAATTTAACCAGTTGCTAATATTACTATTATTTAGAATTTTTTTGTAAATTTACAAGCTGAATTTTCACTTGTTGCAATTTCTTCATATTACCTGTTAACATAAACATGAAATACTTATGTAGTAGGTGTTTGAGGCATTTGCCTGCAACTATGCGTGAAAGACCTACTGAATACATAAATGTTCCACAGCCACTTAATCATGTTTGCTTTCCCTATTTGATTATTAATAATCCAGATTTCGTAAAATTTACTCTTCAATCAAGCTGGGAAGTTATTAGTCACTTTAGACTCTGTTTAAATTAATATCTGCATTCAACTTCACTGACTTTGGTAAAATTGAAAAATAAAGTTATCATCAATAACTTAAGAGAAAACTCAAACAGCAATGCTTTCATAGGTTGTGTGAATTTAGAAAGAAGGTAGGAGAGATGGCTATAACGACTAGATAAAGCAGGATTTATTTGGGCTGTAATGTGTATGGAAAGAAAGAAGCTGAAAGACATTTTCTTCCACTTGTCCTCTGCAACACAACAGGCTTTGACTGTTCTTGCCCTTTGAAAGAACAGCTGCATTAGAAGCCCTTCGAGAAGGGAACTGTTCAAGAATGGTTGAGATGGATTCATGCCAAAGCATTCTCTAATTATGCAGACCATTACGCATCACCAACACATCCCTCCACATGTACAAAAATACAGTGACTTCAGTTATACATGGAACATTGTTCAGCTAGGCTTCAGTAGTAACATTATTCAGCTGTTAATGAATTTCAATTAAAAAAAAAAAAAAAAAAAAAGAAGTCTCCCGTTTCTGTGTAATATAGTATCAAGAATTGCAAGAAATAGTGATGCATACTGCATGGGAACAAGTATAAATGTAGTAGTAAGATCAGGTTGTCTTTTTCATTGAAAATGAAGCTACTGATAGAGCTACATCATGGACCTAGGCTCAGTCACTATGTAGTATGTAATCTACATCTTTTAGCAGTTTCCTTCAAGCAACTATTCTCATATCTGCAGAGTAATAATTTATGTTTATTTTCAACCCCTGATTAGAAGTACTGCATGTGTTTCTAACCAAGCCTTTGGGTTTTCTGCAAGAGCTTCCGTAGTGACAGGATTTTCCTATTCAATCACTGGAAAGCAGAGATCTCTCCTTACAATGTATGCGCTGTATCTTCCATCTTGAAGATTATACCAGGGACATGGCTTGCTGTAAACCACAACAGCTTCTGTACACATTTGAATCCTGTAGGCTTTAATTTCACCCTCATGTCTCAATTTTTGTGGTAAGTTTAAGATAGCAGAACCTTCCTTTACAGCACTTTTGTTACATGGGAGAACTGTGTCTCCAGAGAACAGAAGCTAGTTTATTTGATACTTAAAAAAGTAAACTAGAAGGCACTTAGCATTATCCATAAATTTCAAGTCTACATGAGAAAGTCAGATGGATAACCTGCTATGCCTTTCCCATGCCTTTTATGAATCACAAGAAGTAAAGCAAGAGGTGCAAGCTGTGTGCTCTCTACATTAAGACCACAGAGTTTTGCATACATGAGACAGACCGGGAGATCTTTGCTCTGTAGATATTCTTAAAAGCTTCCTGACTTATGTTCCTTTTCTCCTTATAAATGACTTGTGCATTTACATCACATACCTGCATGTTTCCCAGTAAGACCTAAGGGCAAATGCTTTCATTTCAGACAACATACAAAGCAAGCTTATTCTTCTGTGGTTATATTTCCCAAAGTCCATTTTGTAAAATGGAGCTTCATGAATTTTAAAGAATGGATTATGGTAGAAATATTTTTAAGAGTCTATTTAAAATGTAAGATAAAGGGCAATTAGGTATAAGCAGCCTTGTTCTATGTAGCAGATTTTAAGCTGTAATGTGAGGCCATCAAACAAATATAAAAGTTACGTATTGCTATGAATCAGCGAACTCCATTATTCTGCTTCATAACTGGAGGTTAAAAAAACCCCCCACAGCAGGCCTGGCAAATTATGTTTTGCTACCTCAAGAATTAGAGCAGGGAGATCATGCCTAACCAGTCTGGTTTTAAACAGACCCTGAAATATTCTGGATCCTTACAAGCAAACCGCATTTGAGCCTTGGGAATACCTGAAGATGTACAGCAGTACAGAAACAAAACTGCAATTTAAATTCTTCTGTGCTTCAGGAAATACCTTCACAGGCTATACTTGTCTCTCTATAATATTCACTTTCATATTTACTTACACTTTTCCTATTTCTTCCCTTGTTCACTTCTCAGGAATCTTCTATTCACTGGTCCCTTCTCTTTCATTTTATTGCAAGTGCTTTTCCAAAAATGCAGCAACTGATATTCTCTTCACTGTCTTTTCCCAATGCTTCTTGAACCTAATTGGGACTCTCATATGAAGGATTCTAGGAGCATGTCAAAAGATTGTTGCATAACTGACAACGATGAGCTTTACAGTTGACAGCCACACTTCAGTTACAGGTCCAGTCTATCACCAAAGTTTAACTCTTCTAAATTAGTAGGTCAGCTCAAAAGTAAACCCCTCAATCATAAAATCTGGAAGAGAAGAAAAAGCTGATTCACACTTAAAGTTGTGTGAAGTTTCGAGCAAAAAAAATCCACTATTGGGCACTGAAAATAACAAAGTTGTTTAACATATAATTTCTTTTTTTAGATATCTTTTGAATATCAGATTAGGTCACTAAATTTAGAGAAAATTACCACAGCTATGCTAGACTGTACTTAGTGATTCGACTTCATCCTGTTCATAAATTGAGTTGTGTTATCCTTTATACTAATGTTAACCCCCTCAGTATCTTGTATACCAAGAATAAAGTATAGTTGAATCCTTACCAAATACTCAAGTCCACTGACTTCAATTAATTTGGCCCATGAACCCAAGTTACAGCTTTGCTTAAAAAGCCAGTTGTGTTATTTCATTCTGCAAGCCTGCAAATAAAACAAAAATTTTAGTCAATGAGTTTTAAGAAGTCTAATACTACTTGATTCTATCTAGTGCTGTATCACCATCATAGTAGGGTTTGACTTTATGGTCTCATGCACTCTCAGAAAAAACAACTGTAGAGCACATATTAGCAAGAGAAAAGGCCCAAAAGATTTTGGTCTGCATAAATTTTCTGTGCAGTGCCTGGTTTAGCTGCAGCTACATATAGTAAATCATAAGTATTATCTTATTTCCAGACCAAAAGAGAGCACTTAATAGGAATAACAGTAACCAGGAATAACAGGATCCAGAGAAGACAAAGAGGTTAACAGCATGAATAGTGGGAAAAAAAAACAAAAAAACAAAAAAACAAAACTTCCTCAGTATTGACCAAACAGGCAACACATCTAACACAGAATTTGAAGTAAGACTCTAGGCTTTAGCTGTTTCCACTTGTTCTCAGTTATCTTGCAGTAAATCCATTACTTCTGTACTTGTTTTGTATGGTAGTCTTTCTAATAGAGAAGAATCTGCTTTTGTATGTAGTACAGGAGCCAGTTCAGTCTTAACTACTAGAGCAGCAAACACCATTCTTCAGTGGCCCTTCTGGGCATTTGGTGTGCCTTGCAATCTCTAACTCTTATGGGTATTTAGAATGAGAATAAGCATCTAGCCAAGACTAAGGCACTTTGGCATAAGGTTTTGTTTAATTTCAAGATCTATTCCAACGGAACTTCTGCTGTGATCTTCCTTCTCATCAGCTCCCCTATTTTACTTTGTGAAATTTGGATTGATCAGTTCACGATACCAATCAGATATGGTAAAAGGACAACTGCAGTTTCCAATGTCTGTGATCAAAGGCCAACACTGAATTGAGTATCATATGCCATGTCTAGATGGATGAGAGGGGATACCATAAAAAAAAGGCACTAAACCCAGTTACAGCTGTACTTACAAGACAGTGAACTTTCAGCTATATTTGTTAATGTGAAAGGAAATTAGTCCGTTAACTAAATTCAAAATGCAAGCCTACTTACAGCGACACAGAGGATAGCCAGAAGCTGTTACAAGTGACAGATGCTATTCTCAGATGTCCTTCAAGCAAGTATGCTGCATTTTCTTTAGTGAACAAATACAATTTAGTTTTGCCCCTAGTATGAAATAAAGAGTTTGAGCTTCTTCTCTGGAAAATATTGATCCTAAATAAAATCTGAACTTACCTTTCTAGCAGGCTACTAGATCTCTAGAAATAAAAGGAAACAGTGGAAGATTTTAGGAGGTGCTGAACATTTGTTTTGAAGTTTTATTACAAAAATATATTTGCAAACATACAAAATTTTGGATGAAAAAATGTTCATTCTTAAACATTTATGCAATAACTTAATAACTGCAAACATACATAGGTGCTATAAAATCCATACCATACCAAAAACGTTAATGATGCAGTATCTACATTTAATGACTTAGAATTATTCTCATTCCGGTTTCCAGAAATCTCTTCTGAAGCCCCCCCTTCCCCGTGGTCTTCATATTGAAAGAACATGCAAATGGGTACAACTGGTGCATCCACAAAAGTGATAATACTCAGAAATTGCTAAAAGCACATAGTGTACATAAAAAAGCCTAACTAACCATATGTCTGTACACTAAATAGATAAAAATAAATACACGACCAAATTAGAGATACTGTAATTTTTTCAACTTTAAGTGAAAGGAAGATAATGCATCTTAACATTTTTGTAACATTGCCAGACAAAACTGAGGTGATATATATTGCACACATTCCTCCTGTTAAGATATGCTGTACAAAGCAACCCAAATACCTGGCAAAAAGGTGGCTGATTTGTTTAGAATACTTTTAAAAACAAGAAGTCCCAAATTAAAGTTTTTTTTCAAAATTATTTCAGAAATTACATCAGTGACTACACACGGCGTAATGGGTTTCAGAAATATACCAAAGTGAAGCAATTAGAAATGCAAGCGAAAATGAGATACATCCAGCAGCGTTTAAATATTATATTGAGTATTTATACACAGAATTAAACATTTTATACGAAATCAAGATGAATCACTTAAATTTTCTTTAAACTTTATTCAATTGTTCTGCAAATCTTGTTTAATTTGGAAAGATCTACTGCTTTTATGTTAATAGCTGTTAGGCACCTTTCATATAAACTTTGCATTATTAAATAATAGCAGATAGTCTAACTAAAAAACTGAGAAATTGTATTTTCCTGAACAATTCAGCAGCTGTAGGTTTTACAACTGTCTTGATTAGGTTTGCATTTGGGGTTTTTTTGTTTACCTTTTTTTTTTTTTTTTTTTTTTAAAGTGACTTAACACTAGCCACAAAACACATGCTTAGATAATACAATTAATTTGGGGAGTATAGTCTAAACTATCAATCTTTTAATTTTCAGAACTAATAGGTAAAATCCCATTAAGCCAGTAGTTTTACAAAAAAGAAAAAAAATCACTTGAAAACGGTCACAAAAATTTCCTGTGATGACCCACAATAACTTCTACACACTAGTTATCCCTACATGCGGATAACATGAATCAAGCACTTTGACAAGCTGATAATTTTAGATTTATACAACAAGTTAAAGTAATCAGGAAAAAAGGTTGTTAAATAACACAGTCCACATTGAAAAAAAAAGTTCAAATTTTACACTGTAGTTGAGCTTGTGTTTTACAATGCAACTTTTCATTAAAGAGGTTTATCTGTTAAACCCACTACCCTGGCACTTGCCATCAATCTCTGCGGTGTACTGGGTGACACTTAGCTTAGTTCCAGTGTCTGCTGGCTACACGGAGAGGTTAGAACAAATGTGCAGGTGTTCAAGATGAACAGGTTTGCTTGCTGTAAAAATGCCTGCCTAGTAACTGTGACATCAACTCTGTTTCTCTTCCAATTCATTTGGGGGGGGGTGGCGCAAAGGGCAGGCAAAGTAAAAGTAATCCAGTAGTTTATTGCTACTTATACACTATGAGACCAAAGTAAAGTAAGGATCTGCCAAATGCTTGTGGGGGGTTCCTGGACAGCTGGAAACAAGTTAAGGATATGCAAAGTAGAGTCAAATGCTCATAACAGCACTAATACTCTAAACAGTATTACTTTTGTCAAATGTATATGACTGAGAAACTCAAAATACAACTCCTTCCTAGCATTTCTATAGATCTTTGGATAAGACTGTATTCAGCAAACAGTACAAATATGCACTATCAGCTTCCGTTATTTTTATCTTAGAAACTTTTATCAAATTTTCCTTTGAAGAAACTGGAAGCTACCCACAAGAAGTGAGAAGTTACAGACTTCATCTTTGCTAAATCCAGATAAAAAGCAACTATTTGGTTTAGATTACCCACTTTTGTTCAGAGGAACTGCTTATTGGTTTGTCCCTTTTAGTGAAACTTTTTCTAAAAAAAGCCAACAGTTTAAACCTTAAGTCTAATTTCAGTTTCCTTGTTTATGCACATACACAGTGTTACAACTCTAGAAGCTCCTATCTTCCTTAACAAGGCTGAGTTTATATTGCTGAATTCAAATGCTACCATTAAAGCCAATATATTTCTTGATGAATGTGCACGACACTAGCATCCTTCCCTGAATCTTGCACATTTTCATAACAAAATACTATATATTTTAACTGGAAACACTGAACTCAAAGGCTGAGAAGAGCTTTTCAGAAGGCAGGTAGTGCTAAACAAAATATATTTTCCACTAAAAAGCTATGAAAAAAAAACCTAAAATAGATCAAATAAAACAAATACTTACATATTTATGTATCTAAAACATACCGATTTGTGAACAAGTCACATTTAAAGCTCAATTGCTAGTTTCCAATTAAATGACCATGCACCTTGACTATGTCAACATTAACTAATCCTTAGGATATATACATACATATATGCTATAAGGAGCCAAACAATTTTTTTCTTCATATTTCAATAGTGCTTGAGGGAAAAGAAAGCAGCAGTGCATCATATCTCACTACAGATTATCTTTTTACTCCATAAACCCAAACTGTTCTATCAGAAAAGCATCCTTTAGAACTACTATTGCTGAAGAAAGTTGGGACCTGAAGTCTTAATTACCTTTGCATGACTTTAGGAAATAAATACAAGCCATGGGTAAACCTACACAGCAGCATAAGAAACTACAATTAGAAATTTTCCGATTTCAAATGTGAAAGTATCCAGTTAAATTCTTGTATTAGCGAACAGTGAATTACTAAATTACACATAAGAAGCGGTAACATTTTAATTAAATAAATTTCAGGCTATGAAATGTGCACTATCAATCTGGGGAGAAGCCAACAGAAGAAAAGCATGCATTTATTCTCCATATGCATAGTTTTCAACACTGCAGTTCCAACGCAACTGAGGAATGAAAGCCAACTACAACATGGTCCATCCTTAAGCTAAAAGGGAAACAAAGTATTTAAATTATAACCAACACTGCTGGACAGGAGGGCCTTCCAGCGGTGGTCTCCTAACTAAAAATTTAAAACAAGAGAACTTCCATGCAACAGAACTGTTCTGTCGCTTAAAAAAAAAAATACCCCAACATTACAATCACTGAGCATTTTGCATATTTAAAATTTTGCTGTTTCACAGAAAATGGCCTTACTCACTTGGATAGTTGTTTAATGGCAGTGATGCAGAAGCAGATATGATTAATGGAATATTTAAAAGATGAATTTATGTGCACTAGCTAGACACTGTCAATGTATTGTCAGCTCCAAAGGCCTGGCTTCCAGACCTGCTCCTTTCCCCACATCTGACAATTTAATCACAAGGCATTTTGCTCTCCTTTTCCTCAGTCCTTCAAACTGGAACTGGGTTCCCACAACTGACTTGTGTTCTGGTGTGGTGTAGTGTACTGTACTATGTATTTGCTGGTTTAAATAGTATTAAGTCTGTAACCCTTGAATAGTGAATACAGCTAGGAATGAAAGCCAGAGCAAACATCTGCACATTCACTTAATGCTAATGACAGCTCAAATGCAACTTAAGTCCTTTCCCCAAGAAAAACAAAGGTTTGCTGGTGATGATCACAGTGAAAACCTAGATCACTTCTGAGAACATTACTTTCATAAGTATTTAAGGAATAGTCTTTCCTAACAAGTTCAAATTCAAGACGTTGAAAACTAAATATTCTTTTAGAAAAATATTAGTTTTATAGATGAGGCATAAGTGTTTCTAAAATGGACATATTTTAAGTAGATTTAGCTTCAATTATAGCTTAATGTTGTCTGTATTCTTGGTTAGGACTTGCAAGTAGACTTCATGAATAGTGCTGAGAAAACGTGAATCATTCTGCAAGAAAAAAAACACATCAGAAACATTAGTAAAAAGATGCAAAGTAAGTTTAGTGCCACTGCAGTTGTGTGTAAGGATTCCTTATAGTGCTTATAAGAATTAAGAGAAAGGAACTAGGTGCATACTTGTACAAAAGACAATACTTATGGACAACATGCAGACTTTGAACCATGAAGCTGGTAAGACAGCTGGAGATCACTAAGCACACTGGATGCTCAACAAACAAAATAGGGGTCACTAGGTCAGCCTTGGCCACGTAATTTCACTTCACTCCAGAGTCCAAACCTTAGTCTTAGACACATAGAATTCCATCCTGTGTACAGGATTCCAAATAAAGTCTGTATGAATGTCAGAACTAGTGTTACTTCTGTCTGTCAGACCAGCCTGAAATGGGTTGCAGTGTGTTATACAAGATTTCATGTCAAAACATGACCGGGAAGCGAATTAGTTTAGTCTATGGACAATATTTAGAGATGCTTCTTGAATCTAATTCCTTCTAATGAAAAGTTTGCAAAACTGGTATCTGATGAGCTAGCTTGAAGACACAATAGTCTCTTTACAAGATCTGCACAGCAAATTTGGTATCCTGCTTGGAGTATTGTGCAAGTACTCCTGTGCTGTAGGGTATGCCTATCATGGTCTTCATTCAGCTATCTATTTAAAAATGGAGGCGAATATTCCAGTCAACTCTCTAAAGTCACCACAATGATGTTCTTCAGACTACCGGGTGAGAATTAATGCACTATGTCTCTAATGACAATAAGACTTCTGGCAGTTGAACTCAGCTGCAAGACAAGTAAGCCAGTTTAAATCTTTAAAGAGGAAAAAAACCCATACACACCAATACACAAAAAGGTTATGCAAAAAAGAACATAGACAAATCGGGCAACCTAGCTAATGATGGGAACTCGTAGTGGCCCTTTTTGGTCCTAACTTTATCACTGGCATGATACTGTTTTTTAATTTTAGACTTGCACTTTGGGTGTAAGCTCTGCTAACATCAGCATGGAAGGGGCAAGAGAATCCAGAGTTAACAAAGAATGGCAACGTCATCATGACAGTAGAGGTCAAAATTATCTCAATGCATGGCTACTCCCAACATCACAGATTTATTTCAACTGAACTTTTTAGTCCCTAGAAATAGCAAAACTAGAACTTTGCAATTTCCATTCCAAAGACACATACTTCAATTAAAGATCAGGAACAGTTCTAGGGAACTGAAAACGGGAAAGCTTTCCTTGGGAAAGTAGGAACACTTAAAGACAACAAAACCAATGCCCCTCATCCCCATATCAGGGTTTCTACTAGTACAAGTTTTTCCCCTCTTGTCCACAAATTCATATGGATGTGAAAGGACACATCTGATGTACAGCTCTGTCCTGAGTCTTCCATCTTGCAACCGAAAGAAGCAAGCTGTGCCATACTATGTGCACCCTGTGGAGTAACCTACACCTTCCAATAGAAAGGAACAACTTTTGTAATGTTTCAGGGCAAAAAGACTTATAGGGGTACAGAATTTCTCAGTATTGGCTACTGTACTTGGAACCCCACCCCTCAGGAATTGAGCTATGTAAAAGACAGGACCTTTATTAGATGTATCAGTGCTTCTTGAAGCTGAGACCTACTGAGAACAGTAGGAGGTATAGTCTGAATTTCTGTTGTTCCAAGTGTTAAAGGTGAAGAAGAATTGGCTTTGTTCTCCACTTCAGCAGCTTTTGTAGCTGATTGCTGAAAAACACTAGGAGACAAGAGGATTGAAGGTGTTACTGTAGTTGTGGCTGTAACAAACTGCGGAGGTGCAACCTGTAAAAGAACAGAAAATTAATAAGCACTGTGTCCAGAAAGAATGAATGCTGTTATAAGGGCTGGAGAGATGAGCATAAAAAAATAGAAGATGTTGCCAGATTCAGTCAGATATTACAGACTAGCTGCTCTTAATGAAGAAATATCTACCTACGAAGATACATATTACTAGTAATTCTCATTTTAAAAAGCTGAAGAAGGGAAGAGTCTTCAATATTCTTGTATGCAGACTCCTTCCTCCTCATGTGGTCACTACCTTCCAGAATTTTGAAACATAACACAAATAATAGAAGATAAGCTTTTCACTGAAGTAATCAAAGGAGTCTGTAGTTTTGCAGATTATTATTATTATCCTTAGAAGTTTACAGAAAGGCTAAATCCTGCTTCCCACCCCCCACTTCTATGGTCTCCAACAAACACACTTATAATTTGAAGTAAAGTATCTCAAAGACATTTAAAATGACTGTTAAACTGTAAGTAAAGCACTGGAGTACACTGTAATATTATAAGTACATTTTCCCTTGGGGGAGGGGAGATGGGATTATTTTGAGGACCGTCTTCCCACCTCATTCTTCCACAGGTCTGTGTCCATTTCATCACAGAAATGCACACACTGCCTTGACCACTTTTCCTTTTAAACATAAATTGCTAATTCATAAGATTATTATATTTGCATGAAGTAGATGTGAATAAACATCATCTCTGAGCAGCTCTGACACCTCCTGATAACTGCAATTATTATTTAGTATGATAACCTACATCTTGCTCAGGCTTACAGAATGACCAACGTAGTGAAAAAAATAGAAATAAAAACAACAAGCCAATATCACTCAAAAGCAATCAAGACTAATTGTGCTATGTAAAGATGTTTGATATGTTAGCAGAGAGAATTCCCCTTGGACAAACAAAAATCTTCAGAAGAAAAAACCTGCAAAGCCATCTAAAGTTAACATGTATATAATAACTTCAACAGCAGCAGAACTAGCAAATTGATTTTGTTATAGTCAAAACTGTGAAGATTTACAGCATGGGATTTCAGCTGGAAACGTGTTTAAACCAACAAATGCAGTTTACCACACAACATGCACATGTTTCTTAAAATTCCATAATCCGTGTAAAATGTTTTTATTTAGGTAATTATTTACTGTGTCATGAACAGACTGTATAGCTTGTCTTGTAGCAGGCCAGTAGCTAAAGCAGTATTTTACTTTAAGCAGGACCCTTTTTACTGCCTTCACAATCAGATCCGGGCATGCTATTAAAACTGCTTTTATGTAGTGCAAGTTGGACAAGAATGAGGCAATTTAACAGATTTGAAAAAGGAGGGGGTGGATAAAGGGTAAGTAGAATTAAATTACAGATGGTAGCCTGAAAAGAATACATAACAAAAAAGGCAATTAAAAACAATTCTTGAAGACTTGACTATTACCAGTTATTTTTTTTAACTGCAACCTGAAATTTTATACTGACGTTATTTTGAACTGTTTTTAAAGGCAGTCTTAATAAAGTTAAATCTGTATTTAGATCACTAAAACTTGCTATTAGAAAATTTTGCAGAAACAAATGCTTGTTATTATTTTCTTCTTATTATCTTCAATTTTTTTGCTTGGTATCTTTTTCATAAAATAAAGGTATCTCAGGAAAACTGAAAAAGACAGTAAGACAAGGAGTGTATTTTATGCCTCTGGGGTGCTTAAGATTGGGCTAAGACTAATAGACCCTACTGCAATATTACAGCATTAGTACCGCTTGCTTACAAGATTTAAAAAAACACCAGACAGTTCAAGTAGCACAAGCTCAATGTAAGATTGCAGATCCAAAAATATATTCTCATTTCTGCATTGGGACCAACAATAAGAGACACAGTACAACAAAAAAAGCATGCTCATTCATAGCAGTCTACAGAAACTCCCCCTTGCTTCAGTACAGCTTGTTTCTGCTTCATAAGATCACTTTAAATATGGTCAGTGGGCAATGACTATTTGAGATACCAACTGCTTACCACAGTTTTCCCACACACACTTTTTTTTTTTTTAAGAAAACCATCAAACAATTAGGAGAGGTACTTATTTACTTACTTGACTTGCTTTACACAAAGTCTTCGGCTGTGGAAATACTTCTGATTCCTTGTTTTGTTGTACAGTCTAAGTTAGAAAAAAAGCATAATTCACAAGTTAGCATCCACTGCTCAATTTCCAGTGCTGGTTCTATATTTTTATGAAAGCACAAAAATGCAAATTTTAATAGATTTTTGATGCAATTTGATCCATTTTGTAAAACTGATATAATCGATGGGAAGTTAGAAAAGAGGAAAGATCTGAATTTATGTTTTACATTTTCAGTATTACAGCAAACCTGTAAAGCCATAACTTCTGATGAAAGGCCACTACAGTTAAAAAAAATAAATCTAAACATTAAAACACAAACTGGGAACAAAAAAAATGCTACAAAGTGAGGAGTTCAGTACCTTGTAATCAGTCTGGTAAATTGTCAGGAAGGTTAAATTCAGTATTTTTTTTCTAGGCGTTTTATCTAATCATGTCCACAAAAATAAAATGTTGTTTTCTGCTAGAATTTTGGAAGTATTTTATACCTTTACAATAGCATCCAGATACTACTTTAGTCAGGCTTCAAGACTATAATACAATAAAATTCAAGCACTATAAAATATTAGAAAACACAAAGAAAGGCATGGAGATGAGTACTTTGGTAAACCACCGTGGCATTCTTTGAAAGGCTTGTTAGAGCCTTTTGCAATACCTCTTTGCAACACAGAACAGGAAAATAACCTTTGCAACAGACAGTACTTAGCTTACTTGAACTGCAATGAAAAACACTCAGGGAATCAATAGTCCTTAACAACAAAAATAAAATTAGCTTCACGAAGTCGTAACAAGCACAAAATCAAATTCTTTAAGTCTAATTACACAGAGTTAAGAAGTCTTTTGCTAGTTTGAGAGTGTATTTGGACTATAGAGAATTTTGTCTAATGAAAATATGTGCACACAGTGGACATGGTGGAAGGAAAAAAAAAGGAATAAGACTGGTGTAAGAGCAGCTGATTTCCAAGTCAATCAAGCAGACGTTGAATAAATGCAGTCAAGGGCAGTTATGGATAAACCCAGCCAGCTTTTCTAAATGCTCAAAGATGTCACAGTCTTCAGTTAAATCTGTACCAAGGTTTAGTAGTTCACAAAAGAAAAATACTGCATACAGTTCTTCAATACTAGATCAAGATAACTGCTCCATGCTGTACCTGGACCTCCTCCTCCCTCTGAAAAATTAATCAGTCCAAACATCTCAAAAAGGTGATCCCTAGTAAAATAATCCTAGCATGCAGCAGCCACTGCCTTCTTGAAAATTTTCAAGAACAGCAGTAGAGTAGAAATCAGGCAATCAGAAAGACAGCACAATGAAAACACACCTATTTCTTAAACATTAAGACAGGGGTAAGTCTTCTGAGGACAGAAAAACGACACTTGAGAAATACAGGGTATTCTAAAGTAATGCTTAGGACAAGTTATAGGCTGAAGAGCTCTGCTTTTGATTAGATCTCTGTTACGAGTAGGTCATCACCATATTCATAGCAAAGAGTAGCAGCTGACCCAGACAGAGCTACCAAAGAACTTGTTAAAATCCAGGGGTAAGCACTGGATAATAATAAACAACAGGAAATTCACGCACAGGTAGCTATAAGTGATTTTGTTTGGTGTTTTTTATTCTTGCATTATCACTGTATCCAAGATGCAAGAAGACACAATCAAACACTGGCTTAATCTGCATGAGTGTAAACAAAATAAAATAATAATGCAACAAAACAAAGAAAAGTGTCTTTGGATAACCTCAGAGGTAGGCACTGCAGAAAGTTACTCCCTTTGGTGAAAAAAAGAAATCCAATAACCCCAAATTCACCAATGTCTTTACTACTGAAGTAGCCAATTATACAGCAGAGCAACACTAACTGATTGGAAATAATTTGTAACAAAGCCACATGCATTAACCTTACAGACTAGCAGTGACATTTTCACCTAGTCTCTCAAAACAAATTTATCACTTTAGCCTACGTTAAGGCATAGACAATGGATTCTCCTCCAAGAAATAAAAAGTTTAAGAGGTTCTTTGTAAGCGACACTAGGATAAAACAAACCAAGATGGTCAATTAGACAAAATCAATCAGTTTATGATCCATTTTACTCAATAACTAACACTATCTCAATGTAAACCACAGCTATCCACAGCAGAAGGGGGTCAAAATTGAAGGAGTATAAAACGTCCAAAGCAAATAACCAGAAAGAGGAAACTGTTAATTTTGTACCTACAGGCTAGGCTTCCACAGCATCAACCCTCATAACACTGATCAGCCTGTAACCTTCTATCCCCTCTCAGATCATAAGTTCTTACCAGTATTTTTCTGACACAGTACAAATGAATTCTTTAGGACTTATCCCGTAACAGCACCAGCTTGAAAAACCACCTTCTCTACAGACAGGGCTGTCACTGGCAGCAGATGCTAATGATATAAAACTAATGGAACTGGATTTCTAAGTTTGCAATTCAATCAATATCACATAGTGGAAGTTGTTAATTATTTTTAAAAGGCTAATATATAGCAGCACATTTTCCAAGGGAAAATACATGTGGTCTAAAAACAGTCTAAAGTTTCATGAATATAAAAACCCACAGAATACCTGAAGGGGAGAGATTATCTTGCTGTTTAAGGTTGATGGCTTACTGTGAGATTCTTTGAAGCTTTCTGGTGTTGCAAGTTGGCCAATTGAGGCAGAGATGTTTGGTGTTAAGGAAGTCTTAGTGAGAGACTGCTGTTGCATTTGGTCATGCTGTGGGGTCAACCTGAGTTTCTGGAGAAGATCAACACTTGTATGGGATGTATTTGAGACAGTTCCCGTATTTGTTGATGTCAAGGGTGCTACAAGCTGGCTTTGGCCAGCCATTAGATTTTGTGGAGCGTGGTTCACTTCAGATGGCGGCTGATTCACTAGTGGGGATATCTGCTTGGCAGCTTGCTGCATAACTTGTATTATACTGTTGTTTTGTTTTAGGCCAGGAAGCATCTGAGCAGGGGCAGCTTCCATTGTCGAGGCTGAATTAAGAATAGGGCTTATGCGAACTGAATAGCTTGAAACATTTTTTATATCAGGCTGGGAGACTGAAGCTGGAGGTATTAGCATAGGTGTTAAACATTCCTGCTGATTCAAAGGATTGGCACTGGTCTTAACGCTTGGACTTTCAGATTTCCCTAGTGATTGTTGTATTACTGTTGACTGGTCAAAGGAAAAAGGCAAGAGCAAACTGTGCTGCTCTCTGGCAGAGGTGTCAGTCTGCAACTTCTCCATTCTCTCAGGATTGGGATACGGAGCTGCGGGCTGTTCCTTTGGTACAGAGGTTCCAAACAGTTCCTCCAAAGTCAGATGCTTCTGCCTTGACTGAAATGGCTAGAAAGAAGGAAAAAGGAAGTCTTCAGTTTAGAAAAATATATACATCACCATGCATCCCACACTGTTTTGCAATTCCAAGAAAACTATGAAAACTAGGTCAAATGCATTTAAAATACAGTTTGGATATCCAGTGAGTCCTATTTACAGGAGTTTTGAAATCAATTTCATTTAGAAGGTACATCCTCTTTAGGTAAGCTTTTCCTCTACAACCTTCTGTGGACAGACTGTGCACTAGTAGTAAAGAAGGGAGAAGGCGATGGATTCTGTCATTACAATGGCATCTGCCATCATCGATCAGCTATAACTACACAAGGCACTTCGGGGGATGGAGGGAAAGAACATACATGTCAACCAAATCCACACAGAATTTATCGGGTTGGAAATAATTAAATGGCCTAAAAAATGGGAAAGGAACAGAGAAACCCAAAGGTGCACAACTGATCTAGCAATACATGCCTAGACAGTTCTCACCCTTTTCATTAACAATGCAAAAGATCTTACGAAAGGTAAAAGAATATGTATAACCTTAAGCATATGTAGATGTATCTCCTTGAAAAGTGTGTGTATAGACACACAGTTACATATATCAGTCATTTAGTCTCTCCCCAAAATACACACCCAGCCTACACCAATAACGTAGTTGGAAAAAAAAAATATCTGATTTTAAGGATATAATCCTAATAGTTTGCTAGAAATATTTAAAAATGTGTTTCAATGAAGAGAAAAGAAACAGCTATTAACACCCTTAATCTCAAGATTTTCCTTTTTATTTTTTTTAAGGTTGCACAGGACCAGAAGTTACGTGAAACAGCTGGACTAAAATACAACATTCTGTTCAGAAGACTGAATGGCCTGCAGCACAATTCCAGTGTATTGTGATGGTATGTCTAAACAAAGATGCTGTTTTACAATGACAACTACTGTACCATGACATTGCTATGCTAGCTCTAATTTTACTAGCACAGATAACACCAGTGAAGGCATAGCAGTACAGGTAGCATGCAAGTAGCCTAACAAACAAACCTTGAGCTTGAAATCATACTGACTTCTGCCCATGTTACTAATCTCTACTGCCATTGCTGTTATTAATTTTTAGCTAGCTTAAAGCCAGGCACGCTTTCATCCTGCAGGGGAGACATTCTGTAGTTTACAAACCTCGTTAATTATGTTAGGAATTCTTCCTAGAAAGTTGTTCTTATTTTTTTCCACTGATCTTACTGATCTGGAGACCTGTCCTTCAACTGTAAATATACTATTAGGAGAAAAATCACTATTCCATCTCATTTAAAACTCAGCTTTTCAATTCAGTATGATAAATTGACTAGCTTCCCTTTAGTAATACATTACAATATTCAAATAATAAACAGAAATCTCTACCATGCTCTGATCCAAGTCAGACTAGCCCCTTATATAGATACAGTCTCAAACATGAAGTTAATTTCCAGCCTAGAGTATAAAACATATCTTTTGCCTGTCTCATCTCTGGCTGAGCTATGTTTTGAGCATATCAACAACTTAGGGTGTTATGAAGACTCTTATCAGCAGGGTTTGCACAAAAGCAACGTGATTACTTTACTTGAAAGGAACAAAGTGCTGCTCAGAGGGTTTCTCCAAAAATTCTCAGATACAGCAGTCAGAACTGGCACCGTGAGGTTTAATTTCAGTGTTCTGGTTCAGTTTTGTTGATTGTTGGCAAAAAATCCTTTCATGATACAACAGACTTTAATTTTCAATGGTCACAATAAAACACTTGAACTTCAGAGTATCACAGAGAAGACATTTATTTCCCAAATCTGTGATATCTTTAGCATGAAATGAAGCTAGTCAATCAATACATAAATGTGACATTTTGGAGGGGGCTTAGGAATCTCACAGTAGTTATCATATGTACACTGTTTTCATATTTCCCTGGTCACCTGTTTCAATTAGATGAAAAAAGTATTTTTACAGTTGAAATTTAATGTTTTTCCAGTAGTCTTGCAGTTGTCCATGTTATTAAAAAAGCAGTTAAGAACAAACACATTTGTGATATACTTGAACACAGTTAACTAGCTTTACAGAATTATTATCACTTATGTTACCCAATTAATTTTCTTCCAATACCTCTGCAGCTATTATTTTAAGTAGCTCAACAGAATTAAAAATACACCATTTCACCTGTCTTATAAATTGTTTAATTACTTCAGAGCAATTTGTTAGAATCTTATCTTTCCAATTTTTCCTTTAATAGTTATTTGATTTCTGTTCTGCAATTCCATGTGCTGTCAGGTGGAGCACTTCAGTTGCTTGTGTAGAGTCTACATGGAGTGACCCAAAATAAAACATCTTTTAAAACACAGCCTCAGGCAACCCCATTACCAGCTCTCAAGACCAGGCATGCAGCAAGCAGAGCTGGCTGCCAGGGGTCAGTCTAGCACATGTGCTGATCCAAAAGCAGAGATGCTACTGAGGGGTAGAAGGGGGTGTGATAGCAAGGAATCCCAGCCAACCCTCCACCTTGCATTTTAATTCATTAGCTGTTACTACCCCATCCTCTAAACCAGCTTCCTGCTGCCCATATCCTAACCCTAACCTGTATGAGAAATTATCACTACTACTACTACAGAGTAAGTATTTGTTTACAAGTACTAAGTGCAAGGTTGTACACATTTTCATAGGGCATTCCACTTCTCAGGCAGGGTGGTTTATCACATCAGAAACACAACAGTAACTGTGGCAAGGCTGGGAGGCAGGCCTTGCGCTTCCCTCAGCGGGGCCTTTCCTGAGGTGAACCACTTCTGACCTTCCCATGCCCACGGGGTGGCACTGTAAGCAGGCCCAAGCTACTTAGCTGTTACCAGGAATTTAGTTACTGCAGATTTTTTTTTCCCCTAAATTTATCTCTGAAATGTCTTGTATGAAGCTACAGCTTCCCTGTGCAGATATGTGTACTAGAAAATGGATCTAAATACTGAACTACTGCTACATATTCCAGCCAGTCCAATGATGATATCAAATACTTTGTAGCAAGTTTACTGTGGTTCAGAGACAATATTCATGTGAAGCAAAGACTATTTTTGCTAGCATTTTTATTGTGGTTTACACTTTAATTACAGGAGTAACATCAAGTTTTAGCATTTGTAGATATTTGGATGCATGCTGACTAAACATGTTGTATCTAACACTTACCTGAAACAGATCTCAACACTATTATTACCACAATTTGAGCAACATCCCTCCCCAACAACACAATGTTTTTTTACAGTATTTCCTTTCCTGCAGAGGAAGGAATATACTGTCAAAAAATACAGGAAAAGAAACAAACCTCAAACACTCCCACCCTGCCCCCAACAAAACGAAAAACCCCTGAAGCAAACCAACACAAAATCACTTACCCTTTTTTAGACAATTTAAGCATGAAGGAATCAGCTAAGCTGACTGATACCGTTACCAAATGGTGGTACAAGCAGAGGTTCAATACAAGGATGGAAGTGTAGGAGAAGACAGATAAATGCATTTTCAGCTATGTCAAAGAGAATTCGGTGCTGCCATGACTGAAGCACTTTCCATTTCTTGTCTAGCAATTCACTGCTGATTTAAATTAGCAGGACTGTAGGTATTCTTTAAAGGCAGCATAGATAAACCTTAAGTAAATGTCTCAAACACGAGAAAATAGGGCTTGAGTTCATGTGTAAGAGACTCTAACAGAGTATACAGCTAATTGATGCCATATTCTGTCCAATAATGTGGCAGAAGTAATTTTTTCTTGCTTCCTGGCTCTGCAAGTCATCCTGCACGGTACCATGGACCGACTTCTTCCAGAATCCAAGTTAGCCCATTCAAACATACTCTATATTCACAGTACTGTGGCCATAGCCTCTTATTTTTAAATGTGAAGTAAAAAAACAGAATTTAGGTTCCTAAAAGTCTTCAAACCCATTAGTTTATTGAAAGCAGTAATGCATTCAGCAGACATCACTGCAGGCATTCTGAGAAAAAAAAATATTTTGGTACCAAAACAAAGTACTAAATAGAAGGAAACCCAGCACCTTATTAGGTTTGGAAGAAACATACCTGCTCTTGTACTTGTAATGAAGTTCTTAGCTCTGAAGGCTCTGTGCTTTCTGGCTTTGGAGGATTTGCATTTTGTTGCATTCCAGAACTTGATATAATACTTAAGCAATTGATCTGATTCTAAAAAAAATAAAAATAAAAAGTTAACACAAATATATAAGTACAATTATCCACTACTACAATCCTGTTTACATGGCACTCTGACTGAAATACAGACAATGTACAGAGTACTGATTTTTGTAAGACACTGTGGAATTCACAAATTTTAGGAAATAAAAGTCATACCAAGACATCCATCATCTGGTACGTATTCATAAAGCTTTTACTATTTAAAAAAAAAAAAAAAAAAAAAAAAAAAAGGGCTTCATTTTTCACTGAGAAGGAAAAAATAAAAATAGGCAGTCTTTTATCCCTTCATCTAGGTTATCTGCTAATGAGGAAGTCTGCTATACTTCATCAAATCAAGAGCTCAAACTAGGAAGAATTTAGAAAAAAAATCCTATCAGAAATCATTCTAAGTGGCTGGCAAGAGAGCTTGTCACTGACTTATCTCCACCAGATTTAATTAACCATCTACATGTATTTTCAGAAGGTGTTAATTTGTTTTTATGTGAACAAGGTAGAAAACTGACAAGTTGCATTATAACAGACAGTATGTTTACAGATTGAGCTGACTTTCATCTTTAACAAATATTTACATAAATGAAAACAGAAGTGGTATTACAGTTTAAATCACCAGTGAAAAAACCCAAACTGCAGAACAGTCTAGTTTTCATTAGGTAAACTACACCATATGCATATGATATAGTTGCACATTAGCACAACACATGATGATTGCTCTGGTCACTTACCCACAGCAGCAAAATATGCGTTAAACTTTTTAGCAACAAGTTAAAAAACAACCTGAGCTTTATTATTCTTTTTTTTTCAATTTCTAAAGAAAAGCAATATATACAAAAATCAAGACTACATATTGCGATTTAGGAACAGAGGCAAGAAGCAACTTCTCCCATCTTTATGGCTTTTAGCCACTAACTTGAAGGTTGATACTCTTTGTGCCTGAAATGCTGGATGCCTTGTGGCTACAAACAAATCAGACAAAGCATAGTTTTCTTTTCACTGGAGGATGAGCTGCAGTATGTTTCCATGATCATACTGAAACACACACAGAAAACACACTATAAAAAGCATCTGTTCACTTAATTAAAAAAAAAGAAATTAAAACAAATCTCAGAATTCATTCATTTTCACATATGTAGCCAGTACTTGAAGGATTAAGCTGATTTAGAATCCTAGATTAAATCACTCAAACCTTCATAGATCTCTTTTTCACTCTCTCTGCCCCCTTCTCATGCTGATACTCTGCCAATCTCATGTGGGCTGCTGAGGATTACTGTATGATCCATCTGGAATGTACCAGGCAGATAAGTACTTTCTGCTCCTAAATACAAATTCACATGTAATTATCAAGTGCCAAAAAATAATATTAAAAAAAAAAAAAAAAAAAAGACAGAAAAGGTCTCTCAGGAAGCCATCTTCAAAACAAGTTGGTTACCTAATCACGTTAGCATTGACACACCTTGCCTACAAGGAGTTCCAAAATTAATGTGCTGCAGGTTTGGTGCTAAAGCTGATGTGGTCAACAGAACATTCTCCAAAGAAGTTTGCTTGAAACGTGACCAGCATTGCTCAATTCCATTTATCTGACAACTTCTACACAACTACAATCATAGCAAACTATGGGATTATGTTCAACAGATTCAGTTTACAGTTCACACACCCAAAAAGGAAACTGAATCATTATCCTAGTTGCATTAGTGTTCTAAAAGCATCAAAAAAACTAAACACACACACACCACCACCAAATCAAGATCAACACACAAAATACCCAATTATACAGTAGCCCTACTGTAGTCCATGCCCTGATATTTCCCTATTGTATCCCAGGCATCACAGACACTGACTGTCCACCACAAAATCTGCATACCATTGCCTGTTTACCAGTATTTGTCTACAGACCTTCCTTCATCCATTATGCTTTGGAACTTTTTTCCAGCAAAAGCTTTTCAGTACTCTCACACGAAAAAGATCAGAAAATTACGAGGACAAATTGGAATATCCTTTCTGAGTCGTTTTTAAGAGCCATCTGTTAGAAACGTGTATTATCCAATACTGCAAGGACCAAGAGGCAGACAGGCTTCATCACACCCTAAGAGGGCACTACCAAAACTGAGTTCTTGAGGGGTGGTGGTGGTGGGTGGTTTGGTGTTTTTTGTTTTGTTTGTTTGTTTTTTTTTGTTGTTGTTTTGGGGTTTTTTTGTTTTGTTTTTTTTTTTTCCTTTCCTTCCTTCTTCCCCAAAAGCCTTCAATTTCTTCAAATCTAATCTCAATCAATACAATATTGAAAGATGAGTCATTCAGGCTTTTGTGCTCTCACAAAAGCTGTTAATTCCACAATGCTGGCCTTTGTACAAAAACACCTTCTCCCCAAACTGTACTGATGCTCAGGGAATCAGAAGCAACCTTTTTTGGTTTTTTGTTTGTTTTTTTTTTTTTTTTTTTTTTTTTCCCAATCTGTATTGAAAGCGTTCAAAAAACCACATTACAGATTTTCAGAAACTGCTATCTAGCCTGGGTCAAATCTATTGTATGGTTTGTCACAGTCACCCCTTCCCTCACTCTATGTCAGAAAGTGACAAGTTGACTCAAACAAGGCCTAATCCATGTGTTCATTCTTTTTGCATCCCACATTGTACTGTGACACTCTAGAATCCTACGAAGACTCAAATCCCAAGTACTCAAAGGAACTCTGCTGTGTCCTACTGCACAAGCAACTTCTGGAAGGAATCAAGCACTCGTGTGCTAACTGTTCTCCCACCAGTACAGCAACAAAAACCATACCACAGCTCTGCAATTCATATGTTATTTTACTATTGCACATTCTTGTATTATTGTATTTGGGGAGAGGCATGTTTACAATCTTTGATTCCTTTCCTGGATCTCCCACGTATTATCCTTATTTTTGTCCTGCATGTATGAATTTGGTCCTTAGAATTATATAAAGTAATTCTTTCCTAAGAGAACTAATATTCTCCTTCGTGATGTAAACTTGCGAATTTATCACTGGAAAAAGATACCAGACTCACCCTTCTGAACGCAGTTGATTTATTAAAAGGATAGACACACAGTAGACAGGACAGAAGTAATAAAGGGGGGAACAGAAGGATAGGGGAACGGTGTTGTCTACAGCTATTAAAAATATGCTTCCTGTAGTCTGCAAATGCACTGAATGACTAAATTTCTAATACTACAAATCTTTTGAGACTGAGACAGACACCATTGGGTACAATTTTTATTTACTATTCCCAGAGACATCTTCTCACAGCAGTAGAAACTGAAATGTAGCTTGATAGACCCATTTTTCAAGTTGGATCACACAATCAGTATTCGACCTAACTTGCCCGAAATCAGAGACTATTTCCTGGTATGGTGTACTTGAGGAGGGAACAAGACATCTGTCTGAAAACAAGGCTACTGAAACCATGGTAGAGTATGCCTGCTCTTTAAGCAAAACACAGCTGATGTGTTAAAAAATAGTTTCCAGATAGGCTTTCTTAAAAATGAACAATAATTAAAAAATAAGCAGAGTTGCCCACTAAAGTAATGATTACAAAAATGCAACCTATGCATGCAATGTGCAAATCTCATAGTGGTTTAAAATAGAACTTTTTCCCAACATTAACCCTTCTCTCTAAGTCACTGCACATCTGTGCTCGTATCAAAGACATGGGATATTTCACAAAGTTTCTGGGCTTCTGTTATATTATTCAACATGTCAATGAATTTTATTGTGCACTTTAATGAATGCTCTTGATTATGGCAGGAATCATAGCATATCTCTGCTAGTGACTTCCACTACAGAAAAAAAACCTAAAAAACCAAAAGAATATTTACAATAATGGAACCTCAAGATCACAAAACCAGACATATTCAGTGGTATGTTCTTCTAAAGTGTTACATATATATCTATTTGTTTACATTTCCAGTGATCTCACAAAATAGGACAGTGGACAAGTACTGAGAGTAAGCAGCCCATGCATCTATTTTAGAAAAACATTTTGTTATGTCTGCATCTCCAGGTATCTGCTTTTTAAATTGCATTTTTTTCCTCCCAGAAGGTAGCAATTCAAACAAAAATATACAGGCCCATTAAATTATGGATTAGGTGCACTACTTTGCAATCTTGGGTTAGAGTGAACTGCACAAGACAACTTAGTATGTAAGAATTAATTTCTAGCATCTCTCTCAGAAATCACAGAACATGCTATTTCAGTGGACTCCATATGATGTTCTAAGCCCCTTATTCAGTAGTAGTGGTTTTATTTGTTCATAAGGTTAGGGGAAATAAAAAGGAAAAAAGAAAAGAAAAGGGGGTGGGGTGGGGATGGGGAAGACATTTCCTTACTCGTTCATATTCATCCTTAGCTTTACTTAGCATTTCCAGGATGTCAATGGGCCTGTTTTCATTGCAGCCATTGGTTCTGCTGGGACTTTTTCTGTCCTGGGAAACTTGCTGCGATCTCTGAGCTTCTTGTTCGACCACTCTGTAACAGGAAAGGAGAAACAGGATTTTAAAATTTTATCTAGAATTAACATCTTACAAAAAGCAGTAAAGAAAAGTGTACTCCTAGCATATTAACACATTTTGTCCTGCCTGAATAAAAACCTAACCAAAGCTACACAAGTTTTCATTTGCTACAAGTCAAACTGTCAAATGGTCTGTACGATTTGTATCCAATACAGACAGCACCGGTCTGTCTCTCAAAGTTTCCCTAGAGTAAACACTACTTCTATAAAACTCATATTTAGACATTTTTACAAGAAAATATGTGGACATTCAAGTATGTGTGATACAAAGACCCTATGTATTATACCACAGACAGTCAACTACATTTTTTATATTTTACTTCCTAACATGCATTTTTTCTGTATTTAGCCAAATCAAGCCATGTTATTCAACCAAATCAATTACAAAACAGTTCTAATTTAGGATGAGGCCTACCATTATACAAGAAAACAAAGACAGTGGGAAAGAAGAGAGCTGGCTCACACCCAAAGTCTCTGGAGTCAGTCAGCAAGGAAGCTTAGAGCAAGTTACCCCTTACTCCCCCACTTAAGGCCCTGGCAAAAAGGGCAAACCATTTCCTTCTCTAACTGTGCTGTAGTCATTCCAATTACCTGCAAGTCTACAATACATCTTTTCCTCTGGCCTTTGGTGCCTACGGTTCATTCAGCACTTCTGCACCCCTACCTACCTCAAGTATCAAAAAACTTCAGTTTAAAAGATGGTTAAGATATGCAAGAAGATGATGTGTACCTGGTACATTTCATTAATAAAAGTAAAGGCAACATATACTTCTAATCCATATGTAGTTCACAAGATATACGTGGCTGTGCAATGCACTAAAGCTTATCCTCTTGAAATAAACACACACCAGCCTGTAATCCCTTCTTTTTTAAGCCTGCATTAATCAAATATGTTAAGAAAAAACAAGCACTGTAAACAGGACAGAGCTCTGGAGCTGGCATGTCACTTGAGAACTCCCATGCTGTGGAACTCATGGCTGACGGGGGAGCCAAGAGGTGCCATCATAACAATCACAGAAACTGTCAATCATCCCAGCCTCCAGTTTCTTTGGGTCAGTTAAGATTCAGGACAAACTCTAGATTTTATAGACTGGGGAATATTTAGATATTTGTATGTACCTCTACTTCAGAGAAAAAAAATAGTTCAAGTCTTGGAAGTTTCTTCCCAGTTTTCTAGTAACCAAACCTCTTTACTTTGCTAGAGTTTAGCTGCGTTTATTTGAAAAAGGGTTAGATTTGGCTTTTAACAATTCAATGTTGCTTTCAAAATTTGAAAAATGTCAATCATACAGGCTTATTTAACCAGTTTCTCATTATTAGTACAGCTTTCTCTGTTTGTAAACAAGCATTCACCTGCAAATATAACTCAGGACACGGAGGCCAATCTACACAATCTGACAATTTCTAAGAACCGCAGCATGTGCTCATTTGGATGAAGCAGCTCAATACTGTACAAATGATTCTATGGTGATACCCTGAGAGAACATTTTGTTCTAGCACCCCAGGAGACCATACAGTCCTGACTTAGGACCTGTCTAAACTCAACTCCAAAACTAGGGATGAGAATAGGCAAGGTAAAAGGGCCAGAATACTTTGCTGAGATTTTAAGTGTTAGCATAACTGTACCAGAAAAAATAAATACTTTGGTAAAAGGGAAAATTCTGGACAGCTGAATTCATCCATGTGCTGCCTGATGACAAAGAACAGAAGGAGAATGAAGCTTTAACTAGTTGATCCAGAAGCTGTTAATAGAACATCTTTCCATTAAAATAGTACTAAATTGTCTCACAGAAAAACATCTTCAAGGAGTACATCCATTTCACAGAAAATTTTCACAAAGATTTCTGAGAAGCATTTGCTACCTTTTTAAAGTTTACTATTTTTTTTTTTTGAAGAGTAACAAATTATCTTCTCACATAGATAACTGCCTAATAGCTCCTTGTCACTTTGTCTTGTGCAGGTTACATTCAGACAGTGGTGATGGGGTAAACATGAAACAGTATACCTCCAAAACTCTGAGATACTTTCCCACTTTTAGCTTGCTGCCTGTATCTCAGAAGGTAGTTTGGGTCTGACTGTTGAAACAGTGTAAAACAAGCTTAGAAACTAACCTAAAAATAAACCCCCCTACAAACGTACGTGTCAGAATGCAATAGTTCCACAAATATTTGAAAAACCTTAGTTTCTCTTCTACTTCTAAAAAGCTCACCCCCCAATCATCTTAACTTGACCCAAATTCATTCCTTCTAAAGTTAGGAGCTTGATGACTTCCATAATTTTTTTTAATTTCAGAAAATACTATAATTCTTTTTAAAAAAAAAAAAAAGAAAAGAAAAATACCTTTGCTGCGGAAAAAAAGTCAACTAATGCAAATCTGTACACTGAGCATGCTCTGTATGCAATCCAGGATTAAATCTTTTTTAAGCAAGGCCTGCTGTTTCTTTCCATTATATCAGATAGTAGAAGCACACATTCCTTCAGGGGCACGGTAGCTGCTGTGACAGTCTGTTTAATAATATCTGCAGTTATAGCATTGAAAATATACCTGGCACAACTCACAGAAAGAGAGGGGTAGAGAGGGGGAGAGAACGTGAGAAGTAAGGTCTGTGATTACAAAGCCTACAAACACTAATTTAGTTTTCATTTGAAAGATAAGCTACCAAAATATAAATGGAATGCCTGCAATCTTGTTAACTCAGTCTGGCACAATAAGGTCAAGTCAAACAGCAGGAAAGAGAATATAAATCTCCTTGAAACCTTTTATGGTTAGATTTTTGAAGCTCTGAGGTATTATAAAGGCAGTACTTTGTCCTATTAGTGATTAAAAACATCCCCCCCCCCCCCCCCTCAAAGGAAAGGGTGCAAATCCAAATTTCCACCCAAGTCAAAACCAGAAAACTGTGGAACAAAATTAATACTCTTGGAAGACAATGTAAATATTTATTTGAAAATATAATTAACTAAGCCTGATGGAGCCTTCTACCATGTGCTGAAATGTAGCTTTCCTTCGTTAAGATTCAATTTTATTTTATTTTTTTAAATTAAAGAGTATATTTTAATTTTTCTTGTATACATCTTTCATCCCAGGATGAAATCATTCCTGGAGCTTCAGCCTCCTTTGTTTAGAGAAGCATGCAGAAGTATCAGCATTTTTACTTTTCTTCTGACTGCCTTCTACTCATTTTGGGCTAGAGAAAGCTTGATGTTTGTGGAAACGGATGTGAACAAAATAGTATCAATCTGCTTTTCATCAAGTTTATAACAACAGTCTCAGAAGTGCAGCTCTTTCATCCTACAGTAATGTGTAACTAGAATGCCTCCATTTCATTTTTCCTAATAGGAATCTTTAGGTACTCAGAAGCTGGAAGGCATGTGGTACCAAATGAAGTGTGATTTCAATCTACAGTGCTTTTTCAACAAATACAAGTGAATATACTTACACTAAATACTTTTCTCAGCATAGAAATGGCTTCTGCTAATACTTTTGTTAGAATAAGAGTATGATAGAGTTTGAAAGGTTCAGCATGCTCTCTCACTTCAAACACTAATCATAGTTTTAAATTTAAAAAAAAAAAATAAAAAGTGCATTAAAAAAAGAAAGCCATGCCCTTATGATGCTCTGTTTATAAAGAGGAGAAACAAGAGACATTTTGTTATTTCTTTTGGTAACAATTTCTGAGCGTCAGTTTCACACAATTGTTCTCCATTAACCCTCATAACTAATCTTTATATTTGAATAAGCCAAATAACAACAAAAAGTCTAACACAGCTGGGAAGAAAAAAAAAAAAAAACAACAAACAAACAAACAAAAAAACAAAACAAAAAACAAAAGAAAGTGGGAAATGGGAACTGTATAGGGTCATCAGGATGACTCAGAAGTAAGAATTTAGAAAGAGATCTTGATAGCAGAGTCTGTCGTTTGTTTTGTCTTACACTGCTTCCATGTGGAAAAGCCAAAATAAACCAAAGTAAAAACTCTAGACCAAGAAATTAAAATTCAGCTATCTGCAGTATGACTAGTTTCCATATAATTAAAGTTTGCCAGTCTTCAAGATGTCCTGACTTGCAAGACACAACATACTGATTAAGGCATGCAATAAAAAGAAAGTTCAGGAAAGTAGTGCGATAGCAAAGAAAAGCAAAGCAGAGGACAAGGGATGAGAAGATATCCTGTGCAACACATCACATTTCGTAATTTTGCTAGAGTAACTACTCTGTCACACAATTCAAGCTGATTCCTTTTGTAAGGACATTGAAGATTTGCTTAAGTTAACTCTCACCCTTTTCTATTAGTTAAAAAGTCTTGGTTTAATCTCTAGCGCATCCCAAATTCCACCTACTTCTCTCACTGTTCTCCAGTCTCTTCGCTTCAGTCAAGAATAACAGCTAAGCCTTTAAACCCCCACCACACACAAACTAACAATGAAAAAAATAAAACCACAACCACAAACAAAAACCTACCCACCACCAAACAAACCATGAAATCAACAAAAAACGCCCCCACCATTATTTATTTGATTACACCTTCTGCATCAGAGGATCTGTTGCCAACATCCCTGTACAAAAATAAAAAAAAACCAAACCCAGAAACAAAACGGTGTTCATACTTGCTTTTTTTAGAGAATGCCGACTATTATTGCAACTGATTTTTTTACCACTTAACTGAAAAGTTCAATGCTTTAGGTTTTTAAAAAAAAAAAAAAAACCAAAAACCAAAACAGTTTTATTATTAGAAAAATAGCAAAAATGTTGTATTTTGCTATTTAAGGAGTGAGAGAAAAAATGCAAACACATTTAAGAGGCTCCTTTCCTTTTTTTTCCTGTATTGCATAAAAGAATTACAGAATATTAAAGGCACAATACTTACTTAGCCATGAGTTTTGCTATTCGATGACAGTCATTCTTGTCGTAAAACCAGATACTGTAAATTGACACTTGAAAATAAGAAAAAAAGTATAAGACAAAGGGTTTTTTTTCCAAAATCAAATTAGTAAGAAAAAGCAAAAAAACAACAGTCCATTAGATCTGCAACATATGAATTATCATCAATTTTCACTCAAATATTCTGTGTGTAACCAACTATTTATAAAGTAATCAGAAATAGCACATGAGCAAACACAAATACAACTTCAGACATATTAAATGCAAGAACTACAAGATGTTGATACTGTTTGTAAATAGAAGTGGCAGGAAAATTAAGTTTTAACTACCAGATGCCTTCTCACTACAGTTGCAGCCTTCTGTTTTGAATTAATGACTTTACCATTTAAATTAGGCTAAAGAATATATTTATTCTTTTTTAAACACATTTTTAAAATTTGACAATTTCTGAAGCTCAACAAAAATATTAAAGGTTTGAATTACAGTATGACAGCTCAGTCAGAGGCTCTCTGGAAGGTTCTCTCTTCAACCACCGTCACGTTTATGGAGCAGCTTAAAACAAGATTCATACTGAACTCCACTTCTTGAAAGTACGAAGGACAAAGCAATGAGGGCAAAGTAAAACACTAAGCTCCATTCTGGCTTTCAGAATAATTAAAATTCCACTGAAAGTTGGCAGAGTTAGAGCTGAATTATACTCCAGAGGGAGAAATTTTGTCACTAGTGCCATGTACTGTTTCTTCATCAGAAATCCCACTTCAGAGCCCTTTTTTACTCACATATACTCATCTCCTCACTGTCCCTGCAGTTGTCCCAACACAACAAACCTGCAGAATTCTTTGCAGAATTGTATTTAATCCAACCCACAAAGCAGGTTATTTTAAATCTTGGTTCACCTATGAAGTTTGTCAATGCATAGTGTGCAAGTATGTCAAAGGCAACTGGAAGCTTTACGTATGTTACCATTAAAATATTTTAATTTCTGAAAAGATGCTTTTACCCTCTTAAAACTCATCTTTATACTGCAGTTCATGCCAATGTTTTTATGAAGTTCAAATCACTAATTATGAAAATATTACTTAAAGTGAAGCAATGTTTAAATAATACTAAAAAAAGAATACACAACCTTGACCAGCCAGATGTAGATTTTAGTTTCAAAGTGAAATCCTTTCCTCCCTCTTTTTTCCCCTCCACAAAACTCAAAAATCTCAACCAAAGGCCACTCAAAATTATTTCAAGCCATGGCAAAGAGTGTAATTATTTACCAAACTTTTTTTCTGGATCTTTGAGCTACCTTGGGCCTACTGTGTTTGACCAAAACCCTCAGAAAGTGTTGTCCACACCTCAGTTCTATAACATCCTAAGACACACTGAAGTTCTGCTCTGCCCCCCCCCTTTTTTTTTTTTATAAATTTTATTAAATAACAGCTATTGATTTGGATGTTTGTTTCTTTAGAAGTTACGGCTTAAGTAACAGACAAAGCTTTTCAAGTCATAAACAAGTAAGTCAATATAGCACAGTTTAAAGAACTTCCTTCTTACAAAAGACTTAAGCCAATTAAAAAAATAATGATTTCATACACGTAGCCAACGCTTATGAAATATTTATTAATATTTACAGTTTAATACAACTAGATTGTCTATCGCATAGAAACCCGAAAATGTTTCCAGTTTGAGATACTTCTTTAGTCATGTAGCATATTTTAACACTGGAGAAAAGCTCTTTCCTTTTCCTGACTTCCATTATCACAAAAACTGCCAAGAGAAAAAAAGCTTCTTCAAAAGCATACTTGCTGAAGAAATGAAGATAAGGAAACTATAATGCTATCTTAATGGGACAAATGATAAAGGTCACACTCAATTCTGCCAGAAACAGGCCTACACAGGAACAGAAGTAGATCCAAATCTCAGTTTGATGTACAGAGTATCAGGCTTTTTTCCACTTTGTACTACTGGCAAGCAATCATAGGGAGATACTACAAAACATTACCAGTATTACAAAGATGTAAAGCAGATCATGAACAAGTAAACTTGGGCATTAACTTAGATACAGTCCAACAGGCTGGAATGTTTACCTTCCTCTTTTCAAAAGAGGACTCATTTGTACTATCAGTTCAGCTCCCTTACCCCAGAAGTCTGTGCACGTGTCCCAACTGCATTACTATACTTGATATATTTCTTATATACATGCAAATTTAGCTATGAGCATCCTTTTAATAAAAACAGAGGTGGTACTTACCAGTTCTTTTCAAATCTGTGATCTTTTTACTACATCCAGCATAAACATTAAATGCTGAATGTTCATATGTCTAATAGCATATCCTTCTACTGCAGTTTGTGAAGTTTCATCCAACAGAAGCCACTAAATTGACCCATTCTTCCATCTAGTTCAACACTTTCCATCCAGCTTTTCTATACTGAATGTTGGACAGCATCTTTAGTAATCAAGTAGAAGCAGTTTGTATTCAGCAGCAGCAATATCCTTCAGTTGGATTCACACTACATTGACACACATGAAGTTATGAGTAACCCACAACACAGACAAACCAGACTTCATAAAATTAAAAGAAGTCAGTTATCTTAATCTACATTCTTCTCTGATATATGTCATTTTTATTGGAAACACTGACCCATAAATATTTATCTAAACACATAACATTAAAAAAAAAAAAAAGAGATTTTGAGAAAACAAAAGCATTATGGAAGACTTCCTGTTTAAGCTTAACAGCCGGATGACACCAAAGGGAAAGGTGTGGTCTCATCTACATTGTGCTCCCACTATTTCATGGGGCAGTCAGCTTACTGTTCCAGTGCTGCCCAGTTAGCAGATCTGAATTAAGAATGAGGATAGTGAAGTGTCACAGTGAGACAGAGGCCTCACTCTCTGACAGCATAAAATGAAGCTGCGTCCCAAAGCTGTAGTTTCACTTCAGTTTTCATTTTAAGCAAGCAGAAAGAAGCAGTGTTACCACCCTTACATTCCCACAACTTTGCCATTAACTCACTCTACCCCAGTTCACCCCTCTCCCTTGTGTCAGATAGATACATTTTAGTCCAGACCAGTTCTGTGATGCTGTTTGTGCATCAGCTTCACAAACATGCCATCCAGCACAAGAGAAGACAGAAATAAGAAGCTGGGGCCAGCACAGTAGGGAAAAACTTAAAATGTTCATGGAACTGTAGCCTGCGAATGCTACGCCAGAAGAAGTGTACATGGGACTTGCCAGCACGGCCAGTGTCAGCCATGCCAGACACTTGTCACCCTCTTGCCTTACACAGTTTAGCCATTTGTGCAGATACAGCTTCATTTCATTCAAAAAGATGATCTGCTTAAAAGTTACCTTAACTAGTTGGAAGAGCTGATAGAAGAGAGAGAAAAGTTTTATTTTACAGTTCCAATTTAGAAGTTGCTTTACAATGAAGCAGCGCAATTGCAAGTGGAGGACAATGACCTTTCAAACTTTCTCTGGAAAGAAAGGACTTGTACTTTGAAACCCATCCTATAAGGTAATCATGGAAATCAACTTAACCTGATCTCACTCTCAAAGAAAATCACATATATGCATCATTTGCATATGGTATAGGCATAATTTTACACTTCAGATAAGAGTTCAAGGCAAAAGCACACAAAGCAAGCAATCTCAAAGCTTGTATTTCTTCCAGTAGCAAGGTTAGCTGAAACGCTATCTCTCCTCAGTCAGTCTGCTCTAATATCTTCACTGAGATTCCTCACTCACTATTCATATTTTCCTTGAATTAAATATTAGCCTGCCACATAGGTTTATAAATCATTAGAATAAATAAATAGATATGCAAAACACTGAGAGGAAAGGACTTTTTTATTTAAGGCCATTTCACACACACAGTTCACAGCACAATCCCACAGGCAGTTGCACTGGAGTAATTCAGCAGGTGGCAAACAGCATCCAAGATCAGGAACACTTTAACAAACTGCCATCTGACAAAGCATAGTGTGGAATGAGAGGGATTATTACTTTGTAACACTGAACCAGAGTGGAAAACCCCTTCCAGTTAATGCGCCATCTTTCAAATCAAACAGAATATTTTTAGAACTTCTTAACAGCTTTCAGTGGTTCTTCCCCTCCCCCTAGCTCGCATTGCGTCTTCTGCTATAAAGGTATCAGGAACAGGCTCCTTTCTTATCTCAGACTAAACCACTGGGTTAATGCGCTTGCTGGAGAGCCATTCAGCTTCGGCAGTCACAGAGATATGTTATACTTAATGCTTTGCCAGCTGGGAACAAAGGTGATAACGAGAGGCTTTCCTGACCAGTAAAGATGACCTGTTTTGAAACCAGTCAGGGGCTCTTTCAAACGATTTTAAAAGCCATTTGAAATAATGTAACTCATTTTGCTTTTCCTGCTCTGAATACAAGTTTGTTTAATTAATGATAATACAAACAAGCCCAGAAGGTAGCACTTCGTAACTGAGTTGTCCACTTAAACATATAAGCCTCTCCAAAATCTATTATTTTTGCTTTACTAACTCTTACCTTTGGACAGGAATAAGAAGCAAGAAAAAACAACAAACAAAAACCACAAAACAAAACACCCACACCAAACAAGGACCGTTTATTTTAATACCCAAATTTTATGTTTAGCATCTGTCTTTTCAGCACTATGGAGAACAATCTGCCTGACCTCTCAAGTGAACTAGCTTGGATTAAAAAGCATTTTAATCAAGACCAACACCACCAATACAGAGGGGAAGTCATAAATGAGAAAGACTTAGAAGAATACTTCTTGTAAGTTGGCCATTGTTTAAAATGTTGCTTTAAAGGAAGATTAGTCAAACGATGAGCTATCAGCTCCAAATTTTCACATTACAGATTGAAAGAAAGTACTGAACTTTCAGATTGGACTATTATTACTGTTAGCGGAACAACTGTATGCATTTTTTTCAAACAGAGTTTAACATACTTTTCACAAAATACAGACAAGAGGAAACAAGCTTAGGTTCATGAAAAAAATATAGGTCAATCAGATTCAGTGCTTTATGAACAAATATTCTGAATACTCCAAAGAATGTGTATGCATCCAGATGGAAAGTTAGACAAGGATCAAATGTACCCAGGATCACATATTTCAGATTAAGCAATAATAAGCAGCACATTAAGTATGAAGTATAGTCTAAAAAATTCTACCAGTTAAGAAGACTTCTAAATTAAAAATATCTTACATTACCAAAATGAAAAGAAATTTTGTGATTTAATTTCTTGATTCATTCATGTTTGGAGATATTTGTTTTCTTTAATTCTCTAACAATCAAAGGTAGAATATTTCTTCTTCTGTTTACCATTGTAACTGGTATAATGTCTCACAGTTTCCTAGTCACACCCCCTGTCATTTTTGCTTTGGGGTCAGATGCCTGGTGAATAAATGATATAAGTTTTTGGACAGCATTATATACAAATTTTAAAGTATACATAGCCTTTCTCAGAATCTTGGGTTTAAGTATTCTTTCACAGCTTGGACCTTATTATGTAGCCATAATGATTTTGTGAAAAAAAGTTCTGGAGTTGGGAAAGACTTTCCCATTAATGGCTGAAACATTAAAAAGGTATTAATTTCTGAGAAGGGGGGGGGAGCACACAGGGAAGACCTCTACATGTCTTGCATCTACCCAGAATAACAAATAACAAATTGACCCAGACGTCTTCGATTTCACCCAGTGAACAGAACAAAAGGTAGATGTCAAGTAAGGTACTGTATCGCTTGGTCTGTTCTCTTTCCAGAACAGCTATGAAAGACTTCTTCATATCCCACCCTGCAAAAATGAGGGAAAAACCCTCCCAACAACTATGAAAGATAGGTCAGGGCTCCTTTGCCATGAGGATAAAACAGCAATTACCTAGTCTTGCTTTAAGAGTATGAAAAAGTCTTTGCACAAATGGATAAAGCATCTCATGTCTACAGCTTAACGAAAGTAAGTTCTCATACACAGCAAACTAAAAATGCCATTATATGTTAAAAATAATTTTTTTGAACAAATCAAACTAAAACTCACCAAAAATATGATCTAGCATGACAGGCAAACCATTCTTACAGACTCTAACCAAGCAAAAGTAATGTCTACATACTACTTGCAGTTTCTTGTAGAGCTTGTTAGTGGATCTGTATAGACTGGAGTATATCACTTGATATACTCAGAACAGCTCTCATGCCATTTAAAACAGAAATGCCGGAGGTCTGATTTGGTATACACAACACTTTGCCCTGATTATCTTATTAAGTCAAGACAGAATCACAGAACAAAGTGAAACCATGAAGTTTATAAAACAGTAGTATCATATTCAGTTATAAAGATTGTTGACATGGAACCTTGCCCAAATATGTGGTGGCATAATTTTGCTTTGATCCTCTTCTACTATTTCTACCATGCCCTGGGGAAGTATAAACCACAATTTGTCACC